ATTATATACATCAATTACATTATCATTATTATTATTTATGAACATCAATATGAAAAGTACAATTAAAACAACTGTTGATATTGAAACCTTGCCATATTGAAGAGCCTTGTAATATATTTGAACTATCTGAGTCGAAAATTTCATTAGCACCAATATTTGATACTTAAAGTGAAGAGGACGATGCTGTAACGCTGGAGATAGTTGTTGGGATTGTTTATTCAGCAATAGCCTTTTTATAAGAGATAAATTGATCGATGTAACCCTCAGCTACTGTTGACGACTTCCATCGTCCATGCTTCTCAATATCCTTCATATTTGATTCTGATTCTGCGAGCAGAAGACCTTCTGCTTCTTTGCTCGCAGAGTGGATTTTCCCAAACGTGTTTATACCAGCTGGGTTGGCACTGCATTTATAATCTGAGTATTTCAGAAAAAACGTTGATGATTGATAACAGAAGGGCATAATGTAACGTTTTCATTGAAATAGTCAATGTTTCTTTCAACAATGTAGAAAAACGACCTATTTTGTTTTTGTATGTGAAATTTGAACAATCAATGACTTATCCATTAATTTAATGTCCTCTATTGATAAATAGCACAGCTCTTCATGCTGGCAGGCTCCATATATTCCGAAAATAGTAGCAACTTTTATCATCAAATATTTTTCATCTGGCGCCTCATTTTCAAACATCTGAATTCATTCAAACGTAAGAGTTTTCGATTTTCTGGGCCTATATCTTCCATTTTTCCGCTTCAAGAATGCTAATATCTTGAAATGCTTACTTGTAATAATACCATTTTTAACGAGCGCACTCGACTTCATCATTGAACATCATGGAACTCATCACAAAGATGAGTTCCATATTTTTGACTTCTCTTCTAGATAGGCTAAGAAGACGGTTCCGTTGAAATTTTCATCGACGTTTGTAAGTCTACACTAGCTAACAAAATTAGAATATGCGATGTCGTACAGCTGAGCCGATTTTTTTGGTAACAATTCAATTGAAGCCCTTGTTGCAGCCTCTTCAACATTGTCAGGAACACACAATTTCTCACTATTGTTCTTCATCATGCAAGACATTGAACACCAGCAAGAACTTTAAATGTGACTTTAAATGAAACGCGTGAGCTGTAAATATTACTGTTCGTTCGTAACCAGATGACTCGGCGTCACCTGACACGGCCACTTCACAGCAAATTCGATAACATGAAAATAGTTGACTGAAAGAAATGTTAAAATGTGTTTCCATAGAAATATTGAATTTATCTTTTCTGTTATGAAGACAGGATAGTTGTACCAAAATCTTTGTATGATATTTGTGTTAAAAGTAGGTTCTATTTTGTTTACCCACAAAATAAAACCTTACTTTCGACACATATATCATAAATAGTTATTTATTCATCATCTTCTATTTTTTCCCTTCAAATTAATCCCCCTCAGATAGAATTCACTGGCATTCTTCCAATCCTGGAAGCAGGTCTGATATGCACTTTTTGGTATACCTGATAAAAAACCCATGAATTGTTTTTCCAAAATATGGGACGTTTTTTTCCTACTGTTTCTTGCAAGCGGTTTATAATACTCCTCATTGACCGTACCACCATGTATCGAGAACTACCGATGCACTACGCTACGGTAATTGAAGAAAACAGTGAGCAAATCCTTGACATTCGATCGAGCTTGGCGTGCTTTTTTTGTATGTTCATTTTATTGTAGATTTAGACTCTTCTCGATATGGACAATCCGAATTCACCATAAGTTTTCTTCTATGAACCGGTAGTGTTTATTTTTGAATGTATGGTAAAGATCCGAAACTTCGTTAATTCATATATTGGTCACCATCATCACAGATAAAATGGTGCTCATGTGTCTCCTCATCGATGTATATGACACAATTCACTGAATGACAACCGAAAATTCCATACTTTTTTATAGCAATGACATAACATGCGCGCGATCATGTTTTTTCTTGTATAATGTATTTTGAAACACCCTGTACATATTGAGGGATCACATGTTGAAACGTTAGGATCCTGATAAACTGTCATGTTTTTCCCAAAATAATGTATTTTTGCCACACACATTGACGTTATATTTTTCCATAAATGATGTATTTTGAGCCACATTGACGCCATTTTTTTCTCAAGGCGAGCTGGGAGGCAACCTGACTGGTGTGATGACGTGACTGTCTGCCTGAACCGACGTAACTTTCAACGTTTCAAGTGTGATTGAGTAGTCAATTTCGTTTTTTACACAAAAGTTCATGCAAATTTTTTTATCCTTTTTTGTCGATAGCAGAATATCGCCGAAGGCGCAAAACACTTCAAACTTTCATGCCTCTCACCAACAAACTGAACATGCTGAACAGCTGAAACTGTAGAGATATGTATTCAAAACGACTGTACCAACATGAAAAGTGAAAAATCGAATGTATGTAGCCCGCAAAATTTGAACACTAGCCTTATTTTTTAACAAACCTAGTATAAGTGATTCTCTACCGCTGAAACCTCCGCTGTTATAGAAGTGGGTTCTATTCCTATTCTAGAATACTCGGTATTGAATGAAATTTATTGGAATTATGATATTAGTCGTTGACTTACAGATTCTTCAAAGGCATATATTGCTTTCCTATTGGCAAGTACTAAAATTAATGTTTTTTCACTACTAATGCCACTAGAGGTCAAATTATTTCCGGAAATGTTTTCGAGCTCACGAATATTTTAAAAATTGTCTAAAAATATTCATGAGCTGCAAAAAATTCAATTCAAATTCAAATAACTGCTTCACAGTACTGGCTATGTAATGGCTTCTCAACCTGCCCTAAGATATTGCTTTCTACTCATTGTAGTCTCACAATAATGCAGTTTTATAATGAAATATATTACATTCTTTGATTTTTTTCATTTACTTCGGAATAATACAAGTGGTAGAAAATGAAAAAATTGTAGTTTCATAGATACGTACCTACAGAAACAGATTACATAATAATATTCAGTTTGTCTTCACACCAACGGACTCTTAGCGTATAAACTGTTAATTTCTAGTGATTGTAGTAGCTCAAAAGTGCCATTTAGAAACAAAAAATATAATATTCTTTCAATTTATAGTTACTTGAGCTTATTACAAGTGGTAGAAAACTATAATTTTATAGGTTTTTTGGGAAGCTGCATAAACAAATTCACAGCGTGGCATAGCTTTGGCAGCAATTATTTAGGCCTTCAAATTGGTAATTTCTACTCATAGTTGAAAAATAGTATATTCTTCAATTTTACGTAAGTTTTAAGTAACTACAAGTGGTAGAAAATTGTTTTTTTTTTTGAGTCTGTATTAATGTGGGTTATGTGCACTTTTATGGTATGAAATTCATAACCAGCGTCAGCTAGCATCAATCATAGGAGGCTGTAATCATTGTATTTTGACAGTTCAAAACATCAAAAAAACTTTTGTTTGAAGGCAGTTTTTCACAGATTCTTTCAGAAATTTCAAATCATTTTATATCATATTAGACAATGGAAGTCCAAACTAATGAAATGCATCAAATGAACTCGTGTTTCGTTGCAATAAAGAATATTGCACAGCCAGTAAATATTATGTGAACAAATAAAAACCAATCTGTCAAAAATGGTCTGTTATTGTGAACATTAAAAAATGTTCAGTATAATTCGTTGTTGGGTATCCCACGAGAAAAAAATTCACTAAAATACATCCAGTGCCATGGTGATTTGTCAAAATAACGTATTTTGATTGGTTTAAAATAACAGGTGTGGAATGTTCACGTAAACTTGATATTTCGTCCAACTCAATAGTTAAGAATAAGTATAATTTGTTTATAAATTTTTTATAAACTGAAAACAAGAATTTTAAAAGAATCAATTCGCAAATGCATCTACTCAGAAATTAATTGGCATGGCATAAATTCAGTGTTGTTCGATATCGAAAACTATAAACGTAAGTGATGATAAAATATATCGAATCAGAAGATTTAAAATCAACGGACCCAAAAAAATGTTCAAACAATTCAACAATCATTTCAAGAATATAAGTTTGAATTCATCATTGTGATGTGAATTCCAGTGAATACATTAATGATCCATCGAACGTTATGTCTATATTTTTGAAACCAACAGATATTCTGGAGATTGGGGATTTCATTAATAAGCTAGCGTAAGAGCTAGCATTAAAGTTATCAAAATGAAAATAATTAAATTTCACTTATTCTACGAGAAATTGGGCAAGCATAATTTGAGACAGGCATATTGCCAGTAAAAATTAAAATAGCTGAGTTATTCATTCTCGATTTTCAAAAATGGTAAAAATATATTTATAAAATTATTAGACTATGAAATTTTCTAGAAAATAACTATTCACTGCAGATGCAGAGATATTGAAGTTATATTGCCACGATAATAGTAAACTTTTACAAGTTTATTGTATTCGTTTGTAAATGTCCTTAATAGAGTAAGATCCCAGAGCGATCAGACATAACTTATTTTCACACAGATAAAACCTTAAAGTCTCAGTAGCGTCTCGTGTGTTTTGAATACCTGCGTGTTTATGAAACTTGCTGAGTGACACCTAGGCAGGTACCAGGTGAGAAAGGTAACTAAAAATAAGAGCTGCTTAACTTAAATTTGTATAACTGATTTTCATACATATTTTGTAGAATATTATTTTGAAATACTGTAATAAGTGTCAGACACTTGTCATGGACCAGAACTTTTGTCACACGCTTTAAAGCTCCAATAAAATTAAATGAACTTCACTTACTTTTACATGTCTGATTTTTAAATATGTTATTAATATGACTATAATAAAGTTAAAATTAATCAGTCAGACAAATAAGAATGACCAAACATCCCTTAAACACAAAAATTAGTTAACCAGAAGTATGAGCGCGAGAGTGCTGTGCTTGCATTTCAGAGTGAGTGAGACGTCCATAATAACTCGGATCTCCTTCTTTAACTCACAATCTGTTTCACTCTACTGTGTATGTGCCCCTTGCGCGTAACTTATAATATCTAGTCTAGTTCGAGTCTGTCAGAGCACATGTTTTTGTTGTTTATATCGTGTAATTTGTGAGAAATATTAAGTTATTTGCAATAGTGGAAATCATGGAAGAAAATAATTCAAAATGTATATTTTGTAGACAATCCTGTAATGCGTTAAAGTTATTTACTAAAGATACATTTTAAAAAATCAGAATTGTATTAAACAGCGATTAATCCATAACAAATTCCAAGGAAATTTAGTTATAAGATGTTCTGATACTGACATTGCGATAATTATGTTAGGACATATGCATAATTTAAAAAATGATGATTCGAATGTATAGTTAAACGCAGGCACCGGAAATAACCAGAGATACATCAATTTGACAAAGGTTTACGAGTACTTGGGACCATCTTTATGTAGAAGTTTGCCAGGGTTTCACACTCTAACTGGATGTGTCTTTAATCCCGCCTTTTTTAAAAAAGGTAAACAAAGACCATTCAATATATTAATGAAGAAACATGAATATCAGCGAGCTTTCATGCACTTTGGAGAATCAGAGTTGTTTACCGATGAGCGCATCCAAAAAGATATTTTCAAAATAATCCAAAAATTTATCTGCGAAATTTATAGTGTTCCTGATACGTGCAACATTGATGCTGCCCGGCTTCAGTTATTTTTGAATAATTACAGCGTATCTAATATTAACGAAGAATTCGATCGCAAAAATTTAAAAAAAATTTATGCTAGCAGTTTACCACCATGCCAAAGTGAGTTATTCCAACAATTCCGCCGTGCTAATTACATTTCTGGCATATGGAATAATGCAAATGCAAAACAAACAACCATTTTTACTCCTGAACACAATGGGTGGAGATTAGAAGAAAACCAATATCACTTTCATTGGTTTCATGGTGACCAATTACCAGCAAACGTTAGTGAATTCCTTCAAACTTCAGGTATTATACTTTGATTTCAGGTTTAGAATTTATTATGTTTGTGATTTTATGTTTTTTAATTCTTTGAACTATTTTTTGCAGAAGAACCAGCCAGCAACAACATAACTGAGAATGATGAAGATGATGCCTCGGATGAGCAGCATCATGATTGGTTGAACGATGAAAATTCTAATAATTGCGACAATGAATATGATGATTAAAAGATGAAAAATGTTTGTTTCAATTAATCCTAGTTGAACATTTTTTTACAAAAATTACTTTCTTCAATTATCCTAACTGGTATCTTTTTGACAATAAAGTAAATACAATTTCTTATGAAACCAAATTGCTCCGGATTAATTAATTATCCCAAATATATTCAATACATTAATTTACTTTAATATTTATTTCAATGCTAGAGTTCATCATACTTAAACAGAGATGCAAAAATATCTAATCGGATCGAAAACAGTAAGTATTCTTAATGTATTTGAATTTTTTACTCTGAGACTCATGCGCACAGCACTCTCGCACTCATACTTCTGGTTAACTAATTTTTGTGTTTGAGGGATGTTTGGTCATTCTAATTTTTTGTCTGACTGATTAATTATAACTTTATTATAGTGACATTAATAACATATTTAAAAATCAGACATGTAAAAGTAAGTAAAGTTCATTTAATTTTAGTGGAGCTTTAAAGCGTCTGACAAAAGTTCTGGTCCATGACAAGTGTCTGACACTTATTACAGTATTTCGAAATAATATTCTACAAAATATGTATAAAAATTAGTTATACAAATTTAAGTTGAGTAGCTCTTATTTTTAGTTACTTTTCTCACCTGGTACCTGCCCAGGTGTCACTCAGCAAGTTTCATAAACACGCAGGTATTCAAAACACACGAGACGCTACTGAGACTCTAAGGTTTCATCTGTGTGAAAATAAGTTATGTCTGATCGCTCTGGGATCTTGGACTATAAGGACCAAACTGCAGTAACGATAATTATACAAGTGGTAAAACATAGGAAGTTTCATTTCTTAGCCTTCACGATGTCTATAATATTTAACTGCAGACATTACATAACTTTGGTACCAGAGAAAAAACTCATAGTTGATATCAGAACTACTCCTATATCAGAAACATAGCATTATCGAGAGGACGTGTTATGGAGTTTCGCAAGGATGTTTTTTGGTTCTATTCTGTTCTATTCTATTCGTGATTATCCAATGGCTCAATCAAATCTTGCCCTCATTTCCAGACGATATAAATGTAATACATCCTTCGAACAGGTTCACAAACATTTGAAATTCTGTGAATGAAAATTCAAAAAATACAAGACAAAATAAATCAATTTCGAATTATAAAAAATGGTCCGATATTTAAATTAATAAATAAACATGGTTATTGATGGGATAGCCTTCAGTTTTAATAATAATTATATGGAATAAGAACCAGTTATGAAACTTCCAAAAAAAAATCTGTTTCAAATCTGTTTTTCCGTTAATCAGCTGTCGCCCCCATACGAACGACAACTCTCAAAAGTTGAGAACTTGTGCGAGCTAAGGACTAACGAGGTCTTCCCTTTTGACGTGTGATTCCTAACACGGTTGCAGAATCATTCCAGCTTCAACCAGATAAATTCTCTCGAGAAAAATATCTGGTCGAAGCGGGAATCGAACCCACGATCTTCCGATCGTGAGTAGGAGGCACTACCACCGCGGCCAATTCCACAACATCCATCCATCCATTCCAAATCATCCATCGATGGAAAATCAAACTGAATACTCGATGAATTCGAAATAAGCACTGCTCCCAAACACCAGAACTGCTACACTCTTATTCAGGAGATGAATCAAACAGTGGAACACGTTTCGAGAAAAGTAATGTATTTCTGGTACATGGACGCAGTGCTTGTTTTTGATACAAACTATCAGCAAATTTAAAACCTCTCTACTAATCTCAAACCTAATCCTTTAAATTGAATTTTAGTGAGGCGGATTATGTTCATGAACATAACACGGTCGAAATACTTCGTTAGGATCACTCAATCTAAAAACCAGTTTTGGGCCAGAATATATTTTTTATAGTGGAATCATCATACATAATTTTCTTCAATTCAGACAAAGAATTCAAGAACATATTTAATGAATTTGATGTAGAATGATTCATACAATTTTTAACTTCTCACAAAAAAATATATTCATAGATGAGTTTATTTTTGTTGTTCACTTCAAGTTTTTATACATTGTTTATCCCTAACCTCTTCGCTGCCACACGCTTCATATCCAAATACATATAAACTAATAAAAAATATCGATTTTTACATTTTCTATAGTTGGCCCTCTCCAATCAAGAATTTTTCTCAACATGAATTATGGAGAATTTTCATTCGTTGAAAAAAAATTGAGAATTTATTCGGAAAGTTTTATACCTACTGTAACAATTCACATATTAATACAATTTCAACATACGCGCATTAGCCAAGCGTCACGATATGGCATTAACAACAGAGTGTTAGTGAATATTTCATATTTTTGGAAATGAGAAAATATTATAGATAGTCTATAGACTTTTTATGGGGAAATCACTAATTTCGAAACTGATAGAATTTATCTAAAAAATCAAAAGCAGCTAAAAAACGTATTCAAAAATAACTATTTATGATATGAGTGTTGAAAGTAAGGTTTTATTTCGTAAGTAAAAAAGTTTGCGAAACGAGCGTAGCGAGTTGAGCAATTTCACGAACAAAATAAAACTTACTTTTAACACAAATATCATACAAATTTTTTTGTACAACTGTCCTGCTTTCATAATGAAATAGATAAATTTATTATTTCCATAAAAACACGTTTTGACATCTCTTGTCAGTTAACTATTTTTTTGTTATTGCATTTGCTGTGAAGTGGCCGTGTCAGGTGAGGCTGAATCACCTGGTAACCAACAGACAGTATTGTTTACAGCTCACGCCTTTTATTCAAAAGTACATTTAAAGTGCTTGCTGGTGTTCAATATATATAATACATTTGTAACAGAATTTAGTTGTATCTATATGTATTTTTCATGAAAATTTAATAATTATGTTTTTTCAACACGCAACTTTGAAAACATCATCTTTTAATACTCTTGACAACCATTAAAAATGTCACTATTAATGACAGTTGTACAAAAACACTTTATTGTGAGATTTCCACTAAACAGTTTTACATAAACGCAACACGTGTTTCGCCATACAATGGCTTCTTCGAGCATGTCTTTACTACATATTCCATATTCTACATATTCAATGCTTGATATACCTAATTTCACAATTTGAAGTACACACATTTCAAGTACCTGAGTTGTAATGAATTAAATTATCTGAGCATATGTCCCCGTTTCCACATTTGAAAAAATATTCAGTAACGGGGAGTTACTGAATTCTAATTTATCATTCAGTGAATTGCCCGAATTCTTGAATTTGTTGATTTCTACTCATTCTAGAAGATCGAGTTTCAAACGTTTCTCTTCTAAATGTAACACATCGTATTCCAGTGGCGCATTTGCTTTTTCAGCTGCAGAAAAACCTGGAAAAACCTGCAGCACCACATCATCAGAAGATCTTGTTCTGCCAATGTCCTCTCTCTCATAAAACAAAATGTAGGGTGTCTCCAGAGGCTCCAATAAATTCAAGACAGAACACTTCGTGACACGACTATCGTCAAACTTATACCAGTCGGTTTCGTCTGTGACCAAGGCTTAATAATGACCAAATTCAACGCCAGAACTACAGTGAACAATGACTGCATGAATATTATAATAGTGGTCTGCTAGATTGAAGTGTTATACCTTGTTTCCTTATAACAGTCAGTTAGTTTGGCGCATGTTTGGCAATACAATTAAAACTTCCATTTTCAGATGATTTAACAATAAGCTTTGCACGGACTGGTTATTAGTCACATCAGGAAACGCCAGATGAATTTCCGGAAATTCACATACGTTTCTGCTACCTCTTGAATATTTACTACAAAGTAAACAAGTGAGGATTTTTCCAGCAAAAGATTCACAAACACAAGACGAGACTGTACGAAATCATTCAATCAAGAGCGGCCAGGAGTATTAATTCTGCTGTTGTTTTGTCCACGAAGAGTATTCAACAAGAACCCCAAGAATTCAGAACAATCCTCTTGTCGTCCTATCGAGTACCTAGTAGGCTTCAAAGACTCCAGGAAATCGGTTGGAGGGAAAATAAATTCATTTAGACTATTATTCGTTAAAAAAAAATTACACTTTTGTACAAAGTCCACAAATCATTTTTGTAATAATATCATGACATAACTAATACGTCTCCAACTCTTGATGTTACTATTCACCTAATAAATGACACAATAAACCTATGTGAAATTTAAAATGAGTACTGAATGGAAAAATCTGTTTTACTGAAACCACCTTTTTTTAAACAAGTCCTGGACTTTGAAAATACGAAAAAAATTATCTAACATTGATGTCGACTTTCCATACTTTGAAAAAACTAATACTCACAGTGATTCTCTCGAATGATATTCCTCAACAAAATATTCTCAGATTCAAATATAGAAAGAACATGAAATTACTTTTTCAGGGTGTTGAAAATTCCAACCGTGAAGCTCCAGTTAAAATTGCTGTACCATAAACATCAATGAATTCATTATTTTCGTATTGTCCGATTATCAAATTGAAAAATATTGTTTGAATATAATTAAATTCGTCTAATGATGAGTCGATATCCTCTGCTTCCATTATTATCTTTTACCAAATGCAAATTAAGCGATTTACAAAAATGATAAAACTATTTTCTTTTTCCAAAGTAAATCATTTTTTTTCAACGTATCTCGATTTTCGTGCTATCACAATTATCAGAGACAATTTTGAGAATTTATTATTCTAATATTTTATTATTCTATATTTACTTTTCCATATTTATTATTCTATATTTATTATTCTATAATATTTGGATAACATTCATTGGCATTGTTTCTTCGAAAGATGAATATACTTGTTATAATTCTGCAGGAGAGTTTGAAGATTTGCATGTTTGAAAACCATATTTTCTTCAAATTCATGTTTGTGTTTATAGACATACAAGACTGTTTACTGAGTGTGAGTGCTTTTCTTTAATGCTACTCCCCTTTTATTTTTTGAACGGGTCAACTCAAAAAAATTTTAATTTGAGATAATGAATTAATGCATGAATACTTTATTTTGAAGTGAAATTGACAGATGAAACTTTCAAGATGGCGACTTTTTGAAGCTCCTGCAAAT